TAAATATGACTGCAAAAGTGCTCTGAGCTGCTACTCACTGCCTATGGGGTAACCCTGCTCTGCAGGTGTAGTCACCAAACTGTAACACTTCGATAGGCTGTTTTCTTCTGCCTCTGGCTTGCCCTTGAATTCTTTCCTGGGCCAAGCCAGAAACCCAGTGGGCTAAGCTCCACTTCAGGGTTTGCCTGCCCTGCATGAGAAATACCTGATGGAAGCAGGATTCTATTCTTATTTTTAAAAAATACTTATTTTTATCAAAGGAATACATGTACTTTTTTTTCTTTTTTCTTTTTTTTTATTATACTTTAAGTTCTAGGGTACATGTGCACAACGTGCAGGTTTGTTACATATGTATACATGTGCCATGTTGGTGTGCTGCACCCATTGACTCGTCATTTACATTAGGTGTATCTCCTAATGCTATCCCTCTCCTACCCCCACAATAGGACCCGGTGTGTGATGTTCCCCTTCCCGAGTCCAAGTGATCTCATTGTTCAATTCCCACCTATGAGTGAGAACATGCGGTATTTGGTTTTCTGTTCTTGAGATAGTTTGCTGAGAATGATGGTTTCCAACTGCATCCATGTCCCTACAAAGGACACAAACTCATCCTTTTTTATGGCTGCATAGTATTCCATGGTGTATATGTGCCACATTTTCTTAATCCAGTCTGTCACTGATGTTGCTATTGTGAATAGTGCTGCACCAAACATACGTGTGCATGTGTCTTTATAGCAGCATGACTTATAATCCTTTGGTTATATCCCCAGTAATGGGATGGCTGCGTCAAATGGTGTTTCTAGTTCTAGATCCTTGAGGAATTGCCACACTGTTTTCCACAATGGTTGAACTAGTTTACAGTCCCACTAACAGTGTAAAAGTGTTCCTATTTCTCCACATCCTCTCCAGCACCTGTTGTTTCCTGATTTTTTTAATGATTGCCATTCTAACTGGTGTGAGATGATACCTCATTGTGGTTTTGGTTTGCATTTCTCTGATGGCGAGTAATGATGAGCATTTTTTCATGTGTCTGTTGGCTGTATGAATGTCTTCTTTTGAGACGTGTCTTTTCATATCCTTTGCCCACTGTTTTTTTTTTGAGACAGAGTTTCACTGTGGCTGCCCAGGCTGGAGTGCAATGGCACGATCTTGGCTTACCGCAACCTCTTCCTCCCAGGTTCAAGCAATTCTCCTGCCTGAGCCTCCCAAGTAGTTGGGATTACAGGCACGTGCTACCACGCTGGGCTAATTTTGTAATTTTTTTTTTTAAGTAGAGATGGGGTTTCTCCATGTTGGTCAGGCTGGTCTTGAACTCCCCACCTCAAGTGATCTGCCCACCTTGGCCTCCCAAAGTGCTGGGATTACAGGCATGAGCCACTGCGCCCAGCCTACATGTACGTATTTTTGAAAGCTGAATAGTAGCAAAATGTTTACGATGACAAAGAGCAGTCTCCTAAGCCTTTGTTTCCCACCCTAGATATCTACTTCCTAGAGGCAACCACTGTATATACCTTTTCTCTTGCTATTTAGATTAATCTAAATAGATACTTAAATTACTATTTCTTGACTTTTCAGTTTTCTATCATTAAAATTATCTGGCGACTTCTAATGATGGAAGCCAAGGATTTCACATTTTTACACCATCTCACACACACTTATGCACAGATATCCTCACAGCAGAATTCTAGCACATTTCTGCTTAGATCAAGACTCAGTGTGTGCAATACTGTGAAAATGTGAATATTGCTCCCCGATTAGCTAAGTTGGATGTTTTGTTCACATTTCTGTGTCAACTTCTTATTTCCCAAAGCAGATTTCCTTGGATTATTTTTTCTTGGCTTTGTTAGAATTTCTTGCTGTTTATATATCCTCCATTAGCAATGCAAAATACTGCTTGATCCATTTTTCACACAATCTCACCAGTTCCCACCCATCCCCATCTTTTTTTTCCTTCTGATGTCGTCCCTTCTGGAGCCCTCTGCCTTCATTTCTAATGTGGACTAACTTTGCTCTCTTGACCACTTCCCAGTTGTAGTCCTGGGACCTCCCTTTGCAATTCATCTGGGAATTCCCATTGCCCTTCCCCTGCATTGGATCACCTATTTTATGCATCCCTTGGCTTTTCTTGGTTTAAGATGATACTAACTGCTATTTAATATAACAAATATGCCTCAAAATGTATTGGCTGAATGCAATAGAAGTTTATGCCCGTCTAACAGCCTGATGCGAGTTGAGTGTGTCTTCCACAGAGTGACTGAGGTGCAGCAACTCTCTTCATCTTGAGGTTCTGCTGTCCTTTAGGGTCTTGATGTATTTTGCTTCCAGCTTGTAGAAAGAGAAGACAGGATTGTATCTGGGAGGATTTTATTCCATTGGCTAGAACCCAATCAATCAAAATAGAGAATTTTCCAGAATTGAAGAAAGACATGAATCTTCAAGTTGAAAATGTTATTCTGAATTCTGAATCCTCTGTAATACAAATGAAAATAAATCCACATTTAGACTCATTATGGTGGAAATGAAGGTCATTGTGGTATTGGTTTATTATCACAGCCCCCGTCTTTTTCATCTCCATACTTGATTTTGATTCATGATTCAGTTGGCTGCAATATATTCTTAAGTAATTTTTCCCCTTTAAGACTGGTGTATCTTACATGACTTGAAATCTGAACATGGCAGTGTCGTTCACATATGAATGACAACTTGGTGGCTATATCCTTTTTGTTCTCAAAACTGTAGACCAGTGTTTCTCTAAAGGAGGCAAATCCCCCATTCCCCGTACTCCAGAGGGATATTTGACCAGGTTTGAAGACATTTTTGGTTGTCACAACTGTTGGGGGTTGGGAGTGCTGTTGGCCTCTAGTGGGTAGAGGCCAGGGATGATGCTGACCAACACCCTAAGATGCATGGCGCAGCCCCTCACAGGCCCCAAAGTCAACAGTGCTGAGATTAAGGAACCCTGTCCTAGACATTGCCTCATTGTTTTTGTTGTTTTCTGATGATGAAATGTGTGGCGTGTCTGACATCAGTCACATTTTTAAAAATTTGTGATACAACTTTGTTTCGGCCCAGGGGAATTTTCAGTGGTTTGTGTCCTGCTACTGATGAAGAGGCTGGGTAAATGAGATCCTGTAAGTGATCTGACTCCTAGCTTTGCCTACAACACACTCATCTAACTGCACACCTAGTCCTGTTTGCTACCAGAATTAAAACCTCAATTTGTGTAACATGTATGTATAGTATATATCCAATGCCTAGTGTTCCAGGTACGGATCTAGACTTGGGATGCAGAAATAGGCCAAACAAAACAAAACCCTTACTTTAATGTAGTTCATATTTTTTTGGAAAAAATGTGCATGGTCATGTGACTGCTCTTTTCGGTACCTACCTCTGAAGTTGGGGTGATATCCCACAGCTTTTACTCCATTTGGTTCAGACATTTTCATGTCTCTGCTAGCTCCAAGCTGCTGAGGTCTTAGTATGCCTTGCCAAAGTAAATAGTGAGTAAAAATCAACACAGATAGAAAAAGAAGCATTATCAGAAATTATATGTCTGCAGCTGGGCTGGGGCTAAGTGGATTAGGGTGAAGGTTAGAATTCTAGTGCAGACAAGTCTATATCCTGTCCCCAGTGGTAATAAGTTTATCGGGGTCTTGTTCAACAGCTTGCAAGCTGATTATAAGCTCCCAAGAGTATTGTAGTTTCACAGATTAAGATCCAGCAGTATGGTTTCAGTTTGCTTAGCTCAGGATACAACAGGGAGACAACATGAAGGTTTGCACACAGTCTCTGATCTAAGAGGCTACCAAGGGCCTGTTCCAGGCACTCTGTCCTTTTATTCCCAGACATCTATTGCCACCCACGAGCATCTTCTTTCAGGAACTAGTCAACAGCAGTCTAGTTAGCCTAAGAGGACTTATTTAAATATGTTTTGCCTAATAGAATATATATGTAACATATTCAACATATTTATATTTGAATGACAGATTTTCTGGGTTTTACCATCTGAGCTTATCTTCTAGGTCAGGACTCCCCAATCTTTTTGGCACCAGGGACCAGTTTCATGAAATACAATTTTTCCACATCCGGGAGGATTGGATGGGGAGTTGGTTTGGGAATGATTGAAGCACATTACATTTATTGTGCACTTTATTTCTATTATTATTACATTGTAATATATAATGAAATAATTATGCAGCTCATCATAATGTAGAATCAGTGGGAGTCCTGAGCTTGTTTTCCTGTAACTAGATAGTCCCATCTGGGGGTGATGGAGACAGTGACAGATCATCAGGCATTAGATTCTCAAAAGGAGCTTGCAGCCTAAATCCCTTGCATGTGCAGTTCACAGTAGGGTTCATGTTTCTGTGAGAATATAATGCCACCGCTGATCTGACAGGAAGGAGAGCTCAGGTGGTAATATGAGTGATGGGGAATGGCTATAAATACAGATGAAGGTTTGCCCACTTACCTACTACTGACCTCCTGCCATGTGGCCCAGGGGTTGGGGACCTCTGTTCTATGTGAATTTCTACTCCACCCTATGTAGATTTCTGCAGTTGCTAGTGAATAATCCACTTATCTCAGCTGAATTTCACTCTTGATTTTTCAGCTGCCTTCCTAAGGGAGGAAAACTATCTTTGTAAAAAAAAAAAAAAAAAAGCGTTTCTCTGGAAGTCACATGGCAAATCAAACTCTATGAGTGATGCTTGGCCAACGCCTTGTGTATCTTAGAGGCTCCTAAACTTGTCTTTGCCTTTATAGATCACATACTGTGTCTTGATGAAGTCCTAGGGCAATACTTTGAATTCAGCATGATAAACAGAAACTACTGCTTTCATAAATAACAGCAAAAATACAAGCTGGTGATGTCATTTGTTCATATGGCTCAGAAAAAGTCCTATAATGTTAATATGGGAGTCCTTTATGATGAGAACAGGCCTTGGAAGGAGGCAAATGAGTTAACACAGTGAGGAAATTTAACTAGAGTTAAAGACCCAAGATGTTATCACACTTTCCTTACCAGACCTTACCAATCTCCTTGCACAGCAAGCAGGAGCTTCATCCAGAGTAGACATCCTGGATAAGACACAAGAAGGCAAAAAGGTAAGCATTGTATTTAGGACTTTTGCATCTATGAATATAAGTAGGATTTGTGTATAATTTACTTTTCTGTTCTTGTCTAGTTTTGACATAGTACTAACCTTATAAATTAGCTCATAAAATTAGTTGGGTGGATGTTTATCTTTTCCTTGTCTCTGAAACAGTTTAATAAGAGATGGGTTATTTATTTGCTCCTTGAAGGTTAGAAAAAATAATTTACAACACCATCTGGGCCTGGTGTCTCGTGGGTGGATGGGTGTGGGGGAAGATTTTCAGCACTGATTGAATTTTTAAAATGGTTGTTGACTTACTCAGGTCTTTTTATCCATCATGGAGTCAATTTTAGAAATTTTTATATTTCAGAAGAAAATCCATTTCGTCTAATCTTTAATATTTCTTGGTATAAATATATTCACAGTATCTGCAATTATGGTTTCTTTTTCATTCTTGGTATATATATGTTTTGTGCCTTTTCTTTGTTTGCCTTTTTTTTTTTTTGGTGTTGACTAACCCTGTTTATTTATTTAAAGTACGGACTTTTGTTTTGGTGACTGCGCTGCAAGGTGAATCTTTTCTGAGTTTCTCACTGTCACATCAGGTGGGTCCTCATCTGGGTGTGGGATGAATTCCACAGCGTTGCTAGAAGACATGGGTTCAAGAATAGATTTCACAGAAAAGACTTACACACCACCTCCACCCTTCCATCACCCACAGGGATGCCTGCAGGATGAGCTGCAGCTGATCCACAGTGAGGGCCTCCTGTCCAGTGGGGGGATCCCTTCCCTTTGTGTCTTCCCCTTTTGTTGTATGAGAGCAGGAAAGCAGCTTTTCTGTGGAGAAGTAAACAGAATACTAGAGGCCAGGCTGTCTGGATTTGGGGCAAGCTGTCTCTGGGGTTGTTGGCAGTGTTAGCACCTGGTACTTGGGGACCTCCTTATTGGCCTGCCTATGGGGTCCATGAGTAAGTCATTATTTCCTAGGGAAGTTGAGTTCAGGTGCATTCCTCCTGCTGAAAGGAAAGGCGGAAAGACCCAATTTTGTTTCAGTGAGTGCATTTCCAGACAGCTCTGAGCCAGCACCCAGATCTCTTCATCTGCCTGATCACTCTGTTCCTGCTTGAGGTGCCTGACAGTCTCCTACCTGGATTTCAATCATGTTGATGCTTCCCTGCAATTGGGTCGGATATTGTTATGTGCATGTCAAGGTTATATGCGTGATCACAAAAGCTCATGATTACTCTATCTTTTTTGATGGTTTGTTCCTCTTGTTATTATGTAGTATCCCTCTTTGTCACTATTAATATTTTGGGAGGGAATTTTGTTAGAAAAAACTATGTTTCAGCAGTTTTACATTTATAAAAAAATTGCAACAATAGTACAGAGAGTTCCTATATATATACACCCTCCACCCAGCTTCCCCTATTAATAACACTTCACATTAGTATAGGACATTTGTTACAGTTAATGAACATATATTGATTGGTATTAATTGAAGTTCGTACTTTTATACTTTATTCAGATTCCTTAGTTTTTCCCCTGTGTCCTATTTCAGTTCTAGGATCCCATCCAAGATGCCATATTGCTTGTAGTTGTTGTGTCTCCTTAGGTTCCTCTTGGTTGTGACAGTCTCTAAGACTTTCTCTGTTTTCGATGACCTTGAGGTTTTGAGGAATGCTAGTCAGTATTTTGTAGAGGGTCCCCCAATTGAGATTTGTCTGATGTTTGTCTCATGCTTAGATGGGGGATGCAGGCTTGTGGGAGGAAGACCACAGAGGTAAAACACCATTCTCATCACATCATATCAAGGGAACATACAATCAGTGTGACTTATCCCTGTTGTTGGTGTTGAGCTTGATTACCTAACTGAGGTACTGGTTTTCAGGTTTCTTCCCTAGTAAGTTACTTACTTCTTTCCCCTTTCCATAACCACACTGTTTGGAAGGAAGTAATTATGCACACTCCACATGTAAGGAGTAGAGGGTTACACTCTACCTCCTCAAGGGCATAGTATCTACATAAATTATTTGGAATGCTTTTGCACAAATTTGTCTGTTGTCCATCTTTCCTTGTTTATTTGTTTCTTTCTTTCAATTATTCAATTTATTTATATCAACATAGACTCATGAATATTTATTTTATACTTTTGAATTATAATCTAATACTACTTTATGTACTTTGTTTCTCTAATTGTTCCAGCTTTGGCCACTGGGAGCTCCTTCGGTTGGCTTCTGTGTTCCTTTGATGTGCCTCCATCAATGCAGTTTTCTGTTTTTGTTTGAGCACTTCTTTACTTTCTGAGATGCTCCAGGCTCATTTCTGTATTATGTTTCCTTCCCTAGTCCTAGAAGCAGACATTTTCCTCTAAGTATCTCCAGTTTTGTTTATTGGGGGACAATATGAGGTGCCAAAATCTGGGTACTAGACTCAGGTGGCATTGCTTCTGGCCCTTTCAGCTGACAGAGCAAGGAAATACAGTGTATGTGTGTTTACTAAGTCATATGTATCTATATGTAAGCACTATTTATAAATATTCCCATGTGAAACCATCTGTGTCTATATGAAGCTACACTTGAGTTCATACTGATGTCATTGACTTTAATCCATTATTATGCACATTGTCTAATCCATTGTTATCCAGCCTTCTTCCCTTACTTATCTGTAACCTTCCACTCCAACAGTGAGAAACATAGCTTGCATCATCTGTCATCCGTTTTTCTAATCCTTCAGTTTCACTATACATGTGCAGTGCTATCAGAACTACTTACCTATGTTCCTGTGGGAAACACTTTTATCAACTGGACCACAGTGCTCATGTGCAGTTTCTTTTGTCTTACAGACTCCACTCATTTCCAAAGCCAATTAAGTCCACACCTTTGCCCTTTCAGTGAGTTTGTTTCATACATTTGTAATATAATTAAACTGTTTTGTTGTATTTTGCACTTCTTCCTTCTTATTAAGGTTTTAAAAAATCAATTTTATTGAACTATAATTATGTACAATAAATTGTATCAATGTAAAATGTAATTCAGTGAGCTCTGATAAGTGCAGAAAAGCATTGCCACACCCAGGAAACCACTGCCACCATCAAGACATAGAATGCATCCATCACCCTCAAAGCTGCCCCAGCTCCCTTTGCCATCTTTCCTCTCTTCACCCCTGGCCATGGGCTACCACTGATACTCTCTTTTCACCATAAACCAGATTATGGGTTTCTTTTAGTAGTTTTGAGATTCATCCATGATTTTGTATGTACCAATTATTTGCCCCTTTTAAAAAAAACCTGACTACTACTCCATTGTACAGATATACCTCAGTTTACAAATCTTTATTTTACTTAACATCTGTTTATTTAGCATCTGTTGAGGAATATTTGGTTCATTACAAGTTTTTAACTTTTGTGAATGAATGAAGCGACTACGAACATTTATGCCCCAGTCCTCATGTGCATATAACCTTTCTTTTCTCTTGGGTAAATAACTTGGAGTGGAATGTCTGGGTCATATGGTAGATGTAGGTTTAACTTGAAAAAAGGGTCACTTTTTCAAATTAGTGGTGACATTTTAATTTCTGCCAGCAGTGTGTGGGAGCCTTCACACATCCTGCTCTCACTCTGACTCTCCTGGGTCTCTCTTGTAGTGACCCTTGTGATTACATTGGGCCCACCCAGAAAATTCAGGACAATATCCCTATGGCAAGATCCTTAACTTAAAAAAATAGCTTTATAGAGGTATAATTGATATGCAATAAAGTGCATATTTGATATATACAATTTAATAAGTTTGGACCTAGGCATATGCCCAAGAAATCATCACCACAATCAAGGTAATAGACATGTTCATCACTTTGAAAAGTTGTCTCGTGTCCCTTTGTTTTTGGGATTCTTAACTGAATCACATCTGCAAAATCCTTTTTGCCCTATAAGGTAATGTTCACAGATTCTGGGAATTAGCATGTAGACATCTTTGGTGGGGTGGGGCAGTCATTATTCAGACTAACACAGACCCCTACTCCTCAATCAGAACAGTCTTAAAGAACCTGTGACCGTATTTCATCTCCCACTTCACCACTCATAAGGAACAACACAGGGATGACGAGCATTTTTTCATGTGTCTGTTGACTGTATGCATGTCTTCTTTTGAGAAATGTCTGTTCATATCCTTTGCCCACTTTTTGATGGGGTTGTTTGCTTTTTTCTTGTAAATTTGTTTGAGTTCTTTGTAGGTTCTGGATATTAGCCCTTTGTCAGATGAGTGGATTGCAAAAATTTTCTCCCATTCTGTAGGTTGCCTGTTCACTCTGATGGTAGTTTCTTTTGCTGTGCAGAAGCTCTTTAGTTTAATGAGATCCCATTTGTCAATTTTGGCTTTTGTTGCCGTTGCTTTTGGTGTTTTAGACATGAAGTCCTTGCCCATGCCTATGTCCTGAATGGTATTACCTAGGTTTTCTTTTAGGGTTTTTATGGTATTAGGTCTAACATTTAAGTCTCTAATCCATCTTGAATTAATTTTTGTATAAAGAGTAAGGAAAGGATCCAGTTTCAGCTTTCTACATATGGCTAGCCAATTTTCCCAGCACCATTTATTAAATAGGGAATCCTTTCCCCATTTCTTGTTTTTCTCAGGTTTGTCAAAGATCAGATGGCTGTAGATGTGTGGTATTATTTCTGAGGACTCTGTTCTGTTCCATTGGTCTATATCTCTGTTTTGGTACCAGTACCATGCTGTTTTGGTTACTGTGAGATACCATCTCACACCAACTAGAATGACAGTCATTAAAAAGTCAGGAAACAACAGGTGCTGGAGAGGATGTGGAGAAATAGGAACACTTTTACACTGTTAGTGGGATTGTAAACTAGTTCGACCATTACGGAAAACAGTATGGCGATTCCTCAAGGATCTAGGACTAGAAGTACCATATGACCCAGCCATCCCATTACTGGGTATATACCCAAAGGATTATAAATCACGCTGCTATAAAGACACATGCACATGTATGTTCATTGCG